TTTCCCTACTGGAAAAACGTTCCTGGCTGAACAGCAACAAACCCAAGGGCAATGGGTTCAGTGGTTCCAGCTCATTCGTTACTGAAAAGCATTTTGCTTTATACTTCTATACGAGTGCAAAAACTTTCAGTATCAGTACGGAGAAAATACAAAACTCCACTACTTTTTAGAGGAGATGGTTTCTTTTAAATATAGAAGCCTATGAAGTATCAAAAAGATACTTTTGTTAATGCGCTACTTCTCTTTATTCTGAAATGCACCTAACCATGTATTTGTGAAACTACCAAGATTTGTGAAAAAAATAAAAATAAATAAATAAAACAGTACCGATCTCTGTTCCTCTGGTTACCACCCGATCTATTTCTCCATTCTTCAACTATAGGAGGTGGATCCGCAGGGCGTTTCAGGTACTCTTGGTATTCCTTATCATCTGGTGTAAATCGGTGAGCAAACATCTTTTCATAATTCAGGGGCACGTCAACTGAGGAAGCCATTCTGAAAGTTTTAAACGTGAATACAATGGAATTGGCTTTAACAGCATATGAAGACTTTTACTGTAATTACTACCAAAATCCACTTAGGGGAAATCAAGGATAGTGAAATGTTACACTGATTAACACAGTAGCTGAGTTTTGGGCTGACAGCATAGATGTCTGACTCTTAACTTTGATGATCTAGCACTGTAAATACAAACAAAATGCCCTGCATTGTCTCAGCTCTCCCGAATAAGGTTATCTCTGACAGAAAGCAATTCCAGTTCTTCCAGCATCCAGGCGTTGACCTCTGTATAGGAAATGCCACTGATCTATCTAAATGCTGGGAGTGTTTTTGAGGGACTCCATCCACATTGGAGAAATTAGCCTGAGACAATTAAGAGCTAATATAAATCAGCCATTACATAGTAACGCCTTCAGATCAGTTTTGACAGACCCGAATTGGGTGAGGTGAATTGTGGTAGAAAGAAACGGGACATTCCTGTGTTGAGGATTACTAATAGAATTAGGAAAAAAAAAAACCTCCTTCAGCAGCACGCGCTCGCGGTCCCCTCCCAGCCCGTTCTCAGCAGCAGAAACAACGCTACAATCAACCGGAAAAGTTTGCTGAGGCCGACTCTCAGGCGAACCCTACACCTATACATGGCCAACAAAGCAAAATAATTAGCTTACTCAATAACTTAGATGTAAATGACTTTATTCAGAGAAAAGTTGGCATCTGAGATGATGTTAAAGGACCTCACAGCTCACCTCTCACAGGGGACTGGTGCTTAAGGTCTCAGTTTCCTTGCCCACCCTCCCACCTACGCGGGAGCTGGTGCCCTCTATTACCGTCTGCCGGTAGAGGCCTGAACCCAACAGCTCCGTGGC